GGACCCTTAGTAACGCGGATTCCTGTGTCTCCACGTTTATCTGGTGTTATTCTTTGAAGGAGGAATTGCCCTCCTACTTTTCCATACTTTTCTGCTGAAGGGGAGAGGAGAGCCCAGCGTCCACTGCCCCGCTTCTCGGTCGGTGTCCGAGGCGATCTAGCGGACGGTCGCTATCGTCGTCCGTGGTCCTAATTGGTTGATCCCCCCCCCACCCTCCCCCGCCTCTCCCCCTCTGTGTTTAAATCCTGGGATGGGAAACGTGCTCTTTGGCATGAGTAGCTCAGGCCAGTCCCGGAGAGCCCTGCCTGCCAGGAATGCTAGACATGCTGGAGGCGTGGGAGGCCAGGCAGCTTCCTCTGTTTTAAGCGTACTGGGCCCGAACTGCACAGGAATGAAGTCTATGTGCATTTCAAGCCTGCATTTAGAATTCACAATGATTTGCATATCGCACATGAAGCTTTCTGATGGGCCCTTAAATAAATACAATAGCATTGATCACCCGTGAATTTTTTTTTACTTCTTTAAGTAGGTTCCTACAAAAATCAGAAATTGTGCTGAAAAGGCAGATTTCAGAAATATTTGGTAACTTTTCCTGAGGTGGAATTCGTAAACTGGGAACTACGAAGCATAGACTTGCGGGTAGTTTTATAATCCACCAGACAGCCTAGTGCTTAAAATCAAAATGCCTCTGTAGTGTCACTTTCGAAAGGGGGATTGACAGGGGCTACTGAAGGTGCAGAGCAGCACTAGGAAGTTAGTTTGTATCTAAAAAAAAGTAGATTTTTCTGTTTGGTGCAGAGCTTTCTGAGAAGTGGATAATACATTTTTTAATGTTGATTGATTGGAAGTAGAAAGAAGAGTTGCATGAGAATTAGAAGAGGGACAAATATTTTGCTTAGTTCTCTGTTTGCACAGTTCAAACTTCACTTGGAAGCCTGTTGAGTTTCCACGGAATCATTTAAGCTTCTGAAGTTGTTTTCAGTCTTGTGTGTCTTGAAACACAGCCTACTTAACTATAAATAATTTTCCATAGTAAAGCACTTTGTAGTATCTTATGATGAGCTTTGCTGTCCACACATTATTACCTAATTTAATTAACACTAGTTGCAATCCGTTAGTGTTTTATGCTACCACCAACTACAGGGTATTGGTTTTGGCACATAGGAACGTCATGCTCTTGGAAATGTTATATTGTACAAGATTTTCCAGTATCATGGTTCAATTTTATGAAAGCTTGGATTGTGTATGCAATTTAAGCATTTTTCTCTTGAATGGTTCCTCTTTTCAACTTGAAATATGAAAAGTTGTTAATGTAACAATTAATACATTAATCACCATACTACTGGCTAGGATTGGAGTATAACCCTTTTTTAGTCCTTCCGCCATTCAACCCTAACTAGATCCTTTTAGTCTTATCTAAAAATGTTCAAGCATTTAAAAAATGTTTTACACATTAATAATTTGGGGTTACAAGCTTGACATGGAATTGCTAAAATTTTTGTCTGAGATAGGCAAAATATTTTGATGTTTGTTACATGTCAGTGAGCAGTTTTCTAGTGTGATAGATTTTCTGCTGTCAGAATTAAACAGATGACTTATTACTAAGTAAGGTGCAAGAGCAGTAAGATTTCTGTATTAATAGTCTTAATTAGTTATAAAATAACTGCCCAAGTAAGAGCCCTTGAGTTTTATTTGTTTTCCTTTTGGGTATGATGATAACACCAAAAAGTGGTCCTAGCTTTATTTTAGAAGTTACTACTCACCAAAATGTAAGTAGGTTTGAAACTAGTTTCAATGTAGAAACTATATTTGAAGAAATAATTTGATATTAACAAAAGAATATTGACTAATAGCCTTTTAAAAGCAGTTAGAGACATATTGAAAAACCCCGAGGAGCCCTGGGACACAATGGTTAAGAGCTCAGCTGCTTAACTGAAAGGTTGGTGTTTCGAACTCAAATCAGCCGCTCTTTGGGAGACAGACAGCTGTGCTGTCAGTGTCCAAACAGATGACAGCTTTGGGAACCCCATGGGGCAGCTCTGCTTGGCCCTTTTGGGTCATAATGAGTCAGAAACAACTCTGCGGTAACGGGTTTAGAGATTCCTATTTAAAGAAGTGGAGAAATAATAAAAATCCAACTTCGATTTCAATGTTATGTAAATCTTGGCTTCACTCAGTTTCCTATGCTTGTTCTGTTTTATTGAGACTGTTTTTAGAGACCTACTAAAAAAAAAAAAATTTATTTTTCCCCTCCAAGCACTAGCAGCCCAGAGTTGCCTACTTTTGTCTCTGTAAAAATTAATTGAAACTTTGTACGTGAATACTCATTCCGAAGTTGTGAATTCAGCAACCAGTTTTGTCCTGTGCCAAGCAGTGCTCTGTGAGCAGAGAACACATGGTTAGCAGATAGGCATGGCCTTGATTTGCTGGAGATCACAGTCTAGATGGGAAGACATGAATCATCCATTTGAATAGTGATGTGTGCAGTGATGAAAAGTAGAGAATGCTGCATTGCGTCCAAGAGGAGATTCAGCGTCCATGTGTTGGGGGTGGGGGGAGGGCATGAGGGTCCAGGAAGTGTGATCTTTGAGCTGAAGTCTGAATGAGTGAATGAATGAATGAGTGAGTGAGTGATTGGAATGGAAGTAGTAGTCCAAGCAAAAGGAATTGCAGTTAGTTTGGCAAAACAATTGTTATTTTTCCAGCTGTAGAGACAATGACCCCTTAGAGGTTAGAAATCAATTTAGTGGATGACAATCAGCATTTTTTTAAAGACGAAAATCTCTATGGAAGCAGACAGCTTCATCATTCTCCCAAGGAGGGGCTGGTGGGTTTGAACTGGGAACTTTACAGTTAGCAGGCCTATGCTTATGCAATAGGGCCACCTGGGCCGTTTTAAATTACAAAAACAAAACAAAAAAACCCGTTGCAGTCTCAATTCTGACTCATAGTGGCCCTATAGGACAGAGTAGAACTTGCCCACAGGGTGTCCAAGGCTGCAATCTGACCTCACTTTTCTCCCAGGGTGAGACTGATGGGCTTAAACCACTGACTGACCTTTTGGTTAGCTCAGCACTTAACCACTGGCACCAAGAGTTCTTTACCAAAAATAGTGCCAAATAATTTATTTACTCAGCTATTTTGGGATATCACGTTAGTAAATATCCTTATATCATTTAAAATATATAAATATTCTTAATGAGACACTATTGCCCAAGACTGTGTGTGTATGTGTGTGTTGTGTGAGCCCACGCCTACATGTGCACATATGTGCACACATACGTGTACTTGGGGAAATCCACAGAAATTGAAATTCTGTGTGCTGGAGACTTGTGTACCATTGTCTCATCCTTACAATAATCTTATGATGTAAGTGTTGTCAGGATGTTATGCCCATTTTTACAAATGAGCATGCTGGAGTGAAGAGATGATTAACAGCTGTCAGGCCACACAGCCTGTGATGGAGGAGGATTTTGAAAACAGGTGTTCTGGTTTTGTTTGTTTTTCTCCCAAAGCCCACACCTTATCTTAATTTTTGAGGGTGATGTCATGGAGGGAGAATATGCTCTTCACTAAATGCAGTTACAGGGCAGCTTTTATGATGACCGTTACATAGACACGAATAAGGGTTGGGAGGAAGCCATAAGCTTGGCTTTTGGAATTAAGACAGATCTGGGTTTAAGCACCTGCTTCTTCATTTACCAGCTTGGAGCTTGGACAAAGTCTCTAAGCCTAAGGTCCTCACTTGTGAAAGGAAGAGACTGGTAGTTTGTGTATGATGTGTTCCCAAGATGACTGGCACTTAGTAATAAATAAAAGCTACTGTGATTGCAGTAAAGGGGTTTTGCTTTTTAAATAGAACATGAAGGTGGACTTTGAACTATTGGGAAAACCTAGTAGGATGTTTCCCTTAGTTGCTGTAGTATTTGTGTTTCTCATATACCTTCTGTTTGTTTTTCCTCCCCCTTAAGGATTTCAGTTTTTCTGACTGTTATAGGAAAGGATGCTTGCTCACAAACAGAAAAAGACAAAGAAAAAACGTGTTTTGGCATCAGGCCAAGTCTCTACTGATGTTACAGCTTCTGCAATGGGGCTCAAGTCCGTAAGTTCCAACTCCATTTTTGATCCGGATTACATCCAGGAGTTGGTGAATGATATCAGGAAGTTCTCCCACGTGTTACTCTATTTGAAAGAAGCTATTCTTTCAGGTTTGTCTATTATTTTATCTCAGCATTCTTACTGGATAGTGTGTAACATTTAAAATGCAAGCTTCGCTGTGAATATGTGTGTATATAGTGGTAGGAACAGGATATTCTGCTTTCGTTATTTTTTTAAATCATTTTATTGGGGGCTCATACAACTCTTATCACAATCCATACATACATCAGTTGTGTAAAGCACACTTCTACATTCGTTACTCTCATTATTCTCAAAACATTTGCTCTCCACTTAAGCCCTCATTTTTTTGCTTTTGTTAAGATATGCCCCCTTAACCCAAATGTTTGATGTTTATAGTGTAAACTGTTTTATAACCAGATAAAGTGCAATAGATAATCGAACTTGGGTGAGGGAACAAGAGTAGAAAAAAGAAAAACCCATCTTTGGCTTTCAGCATCAGGGACCCATTTGATAAAGGAAAAAGTTAAATTATTGGAATTTTAACTTCCCTCTTAATGTTAAGCAGGAACCCTGTGTGACGTAGTGGCTACTTACGTATTGGGCCATTAACCAGGTTGCCAGTTTGAAACCACTGGAGAAAGCGTTCTGCTCCTACTGTGAGAGTTAGTTTCAGAAGGCCACAAGGGCAGTTCCATCTGTGCTGTAGGCGTTTTATGAGTTAGCATTGACTCCGTGGCAGTGAGTTTGAGTTTTTGATTAACATTAAATAACACAGTGCGTTGATAAGCAAGAGTGATATTTGTCATTTACATGATTTTTGCCTACACTCAGCTTTTCATATTGTTACTAAAATTTATCTAGAGGGATTTTTCTTTCTCTCTCTCAAAAAAGAAGCTACTTTCTCTTTTGCCCATTTGTGTTATCTTTTCCTAAGGAGCTTTCGTTGTTGGGCCGCTAACCAATATCTCCAAAATTCACAGCATCTAAGCCTGAAGGAGTATTTCGGCTATGTCCTAGGCTCTAGGACCTAGAGGCTCTTCGTGGACTGTGGATTTGGGATTCATTTTGTTTTTCATTTCTTTCTGATCTCTGGGATCGTCATAGCATTTATTCTATTTAGTTAGAAAGAGATAATGACGCAAGAGACTCAAATCTCTTGAAGCACAGCACTGTAGGTACAAGTGTGCTCTGTGACTTGACCTTAGCACCATCCTATGACTGACTGAGTACCTCTTGGATTTCCACACTTGATAACAATCGACGATTTAAGGTACAGCTCCAGTTCATTTCTTTCTGCAGCCATAATGCTGTGTCTAGATACAGGAAGATGAAGACTCCCACTATTTTCATATGATAAAAGTCCCTGGTGGACTTCTTAGACATTGTAAGATTTATATATTTTTGTATATCTATGCGGGGCTTCAAAACATTCATGGAGAAATCCCATTGTCTAATTCCATTTTCCTTGAATTTTTGAAACCCCTGGTGTGTGCATACATATATACGTGTGTATATTACATAAATATATTGCCGTTGTGCCCCCTCACCCCCCAC